CTCTAGCAATTCAACATCAAATGACATAAACTGACTTGACATGATCATAGATACTGAATTTACTTAAAAACATAAATTTTGCACGAAAAGTTGAACACGGCCGTGGCGTGCGCACCGTGCGCCTCCGACGGTGTTAAGCCATTTTACGACCAAACTTGACCTTTTCTCGGCAATTAATACTCAACTGAACATGACACATAATTTACTGAACAAAATAACATGAAATTCTCGAGGGACTATACTTAACATACTCGCTACACATGTACGACCTGTGGTGCCCGCTACATGCGCGACCACGCCCTTTGGCCGAATCATCGAACAAACATGAAAATACTTCGAATAATATAGGCTGACTGAACATGATAAATCATGAAAATGACTAAATAGATGACAAAAACTCGAGAGATTACACACCAAAACATTAACACGCTCGCTATGTACTTGCACAGCCGAACGGCTTAAAGCCGTGTCATGAACATGAAGAAATCGAAACTAACATGCCTTTAGCATGAATAATCCAAGGTAAATGAAATTACCTTTCAAACACTCGGCTGGGAACATAATTGCTCGGCTTAACAGGAGCTTCCTTGCGCGGGCGGACGATTACTCCGTGCGGTACTCTCGCGTGCGTGTGTGTGTGTATACTCTTAAGAAATCCTCACAACTCTCCTAATACCCTCTTTACTTAACACATATATGAGATGAGAAAAAAGAAATATTTTCCCTCATTCATGCAATATATAGGGCGGCCAAGAAAAAGAGGAAGATGATGAGAAGCCTTGGTGGTTTAAGGAGATCATGCCACTTGCCTTAATAAGAAATCACCTAAATGCTAACTCACCCTCAAACATGCTTAGTCACCACTAATGGCTCCATAAGAGGGCACCTCATGCTTGCTTAGGAATTAATTCTCCCTTTTTAAATTGCTTACGGAAATTAAGGGAAAAGTTTGCGCAATTTTAAAAAAATTTGCTACGGCTCTTAATTCTATTTTCTTGATTAATTCTAAATTAATCATGATTAAATACTTAATTATTTAATTAAGCATAATACTTAATTACCAAAATTATTCCGAACGTAAACGGGACTTCGAAAATAATTTCGGGTAATCTCGACTGAAAATAATTAATTCCGAGAAATAATACTCGACAATATTACTATAT